CAGGGGCAAACCACTTTCTTTCCCCTTATATTTTATTCCCTTCCCTTTCCTTTCCTTTTCTCTTTTTTTCTTCTCTTTCTTTTTCTTTCCCTTCCCTTTCTTTTCCTTTCCTTTTTTTTTTCTTTTTTTTCTGTCTTTTTATATCAGATGTGCATGAGGCGTACGCCTCTAGCATGCCTCATGAAAAAAGCGCAAGAGGTGTACGCCTAAAAGGTGTTAGCGCCTCTGGCATACGCCTAAGGGTGTTTTGGGAGCACCTCGCCTGGAGGTGCGCCTTACGCCTCCCACGCCTTTTAAAACACTATAATCCCAAGGAAGTACTTTAGAGGACTTAGATCTTTTACTTCAAACTGGGTAGCAAGAAATCTTTTCAACTTTTGAATTTCATCTTTCCAATCACCAATGATAACTATATCATCAACATATACTATCAAGGATGCAATTTTTCCTTCCCCTCTTTTCACAAATAATGTGTGATCAGATTGATACTACTTGTATCCTCTTTGCTAAACAGCTACATGAAACTTGTTGAAAAAGGCTCTCGGTGATTATTTCAGGCCATATAATGATTTTTTTTAACCTGCACACTTTATGTTCATTACCTTGAGCCCGAAAACCAGGGGTTGTACCATGTACACTTCCTCTTCAAGTGGAAATAAAACTATTTACTAATGTTGTTTTACATTAGGAAATAAAAGGTGCACGCCTAGGCTGAGGCGTGCACCTTACGCCTCACCCCCTATTTGCTAATGTTGTTCATTCATTCATTGCAAAAAAAATATCTTCTTAAAAGGCAATGAAAGTTATAAAATCATTATTTTTATGTGAGAAATAAGAATTTTAGACCCTAACATAGACTTGTTCAGGCTTGCCTCGAGGGGCGTGGTACAAAGGCAACTCATAGAATCAAGAATGCAATATGTTTTTCATCACATTAGCTACTTGAAGCAATGCAATTAAGGAGAAAAAGAGATTGCGGGTTTTACATGCTTGAAAATGCTTTATATGTTTGCTTTTATTTTTAAATTTTCATTTGAATACGCTTTACATGTTATGTTTATGTATTTTAATTTTAAATAATAGGTTTTCTAAAACATTTATTTTAAAATTTAAGTTTATATTTTTATTAACATTGTATTTAATATTTTTTTGCATTTTTTGAATTTTCTGACTTTTTTTATTTTTTAGCTTTTTTTGTAATTTTGCGCCTTTCTTAAAAAGGCACGTGCATCGCCTTGCACCTTGCATTTTTAAACACTGGGAGAAATGCAAATACTCTTTGTTGGGAAACAAGTTCCTTGTATGCTTTTGCATCTTCATCACACTTCTAGTCCACACTTTGATAATGATCTAACTCCTTCCAGATAGAGGTCAAGTCTGAATAGTACACAGAAAGATTCCTCTCCCCCTGTTTACAAGTGGATGATTCCGCCTGTAACTAATAGATTTTTGCATAGTGACAGTTCATAATAGGTTGATTTTGCCTATTCCTGAATCTCATAGGCCGTTTCAGCCCGCATAAAGTTCTTTCTCACTTGAAGTTGCATAGACACTAAAAGCCAAGACATGACCATGTTGTTTTCCTTGTTCCATTTGTTATACTCAACACTCCCAAAATTAGGTTCTTTAATTCTCCCATTTATATATCCTATCTTTCCCCTTGGAGTAATGTATAACTTGATCCCTCTCGACCATTCTAAATAATTTAAGCCATCT